CCCCCCCCCCCCGGCTCGCCTCACGGGCTGAGGTGGTACGGCCCGAGTCCCCCCCCTCCGCCGGCTGAGGTGGTGCGGTCCGCAGCGCTCACGTGACCGGGCGTTAACGCTTCGCCTGGCAACGGAAAGATGTTGGCGGCGGCGGCAGCGGAAGGTGAGTGCGGCGTCCTGTACCACCGTGGCCCCGCATCGCCCGGTCCGGTACCGCTCAGCCCGGTACTGCCGCGGTTTGGTACTGCCCGGTCGGGCATTCCCGTGGCCTGGCATCGGCCGGCGCTGCGGCCTGATAACGCCTGGCGCGGCCTGGTAGCGGCTGGAGCGGGTCCAGAGAAGGGCAACAAAGCTGGTGAGGGGTCTGGAGAACAAGTCTTATGAGGAGAGGCTGAGGGAGCTGGGGTTATTCAGCCTGGAGAAGAGGAGGCTGAGGGGAGACCTTATTGCTCTCTCCAACTCCCTGAAAGGAGGGTGTAGAGAGATGGGGGTCGGTCTCTTCTCCCAAGGAACAGGCGACAGGACGAGAGGAAATGGCCTCAAGTTACGCCAGGGGAGGTTCAGGCTGGATATTAGGAAAAATTTTTTCACTGAAAGGGTTCTCAGCCATTGGAATGGGCTGCCCAGGGAGGTGGTTGAGGCCCCATCCCTGGAGGTGTTCAAAAGCCGGGTTGATGTAGTGCTGGGAGGTCTGGTTTAGTGATGATGCTCCTTGTTTGTTGTGTGGGCGTCTATTTTTGTCAGTTAGGTTGACGGTTGGACAAGATGATCTTTGAGGTCCCTTCCAACCTAGAAGATTCTGTGATTCTGTAGCACCCAGCCCGGCCCCATGGCCTGGTACCGCCCGGCCTCCCCGGTCCCGTGTCTGCTTGTGCCCAGCCCCGTGGCAGACGGCGGGCCCCGGGGAGCCAGGCTGGCACTCACTCCTTCTCTCTCTCCCTCCTTCTCTCCTTCTCCTTCTCTCTCTCCTGCCGGACGCTCTGGTTGCAGACACAGCCCAGCCCCATGGAGGAGGCCCCCAGTGACGCAGCAGAGGGATCTGGGATGGAACCCGGCTCCGCCGAGCGGGATGTTATCAGAATTCCCTCGCATCTTGCAATGGAGGTGATTTCCTTGGAAACATTCACAGGGCATTGGGAACGTCCACGTGTTCCTTACAGAGTGACGTCTTTATGGAGACAATTTCAGTAGGAAGGAGTAAAACAAGCGTGGAATTATTGCACTCTTGCCCTGCATATAAAAAAAAAAAGCCACTAGAAAGCAATTTTAGTTACAGTCCTGTGTGTCGGCAGCATTTTGAAGTATGTGCTTCTCAGTTCTTAGGTAGCACGTTTCTGCTGTAGACACTTTAAAATGGAAGTTAGTCACATTTCATAGATGCGTGTACTTGGGCTCTTTTGTTAAGGTTTGTTGGTGCTCAGGTTTTTTTTCTTCCATTGGTACTGCACAACATTTGAATTTGGCAAATAGTGATATGGATTAAAACAGTGTCTCTTTAAAAAGAAAGAAGATAATAATTTGGCTACACGTAGTGCAAGCTGGAAGACTTTCTTTAATAAACCCCTAAGGACATTTTTTTTTAAAAAATAGACGTGAGCTGGAAACACATGTGAAATTAAAAGTGGTGTGAAGCATTGTCAGAATCTTTACAATCTTAGTGTTAACTGAGTGGCTGTTTTTGCGAATAAGATTAAACTCCTAAATTAAACTTCTGTACCCTGTGACAAACATAGTTTGTTAGAATAATGTAGCATTAACTTTCAACAAAGTGCACAGCCCATTAGAATGCTGCTCTTTTGCTTTCTGCTCGTTATGTGCAAGGCGATAGAGGCAGAGTCCGGGCACGGCGATGAAGAGAAAGAGTCTGTTTCTCTGGAGGACCAAGCAGAGACGTTTGCCCCGGCAGACAGAGGAGTGGATGGAGCTACAGAGCTGTTGGTGAGTCCTGTGGAAGTGAGACACTGTTATAATGTATATAATCTTCACAGAATGCATGACCAGTGTTTGTAACTTCACATTGTGCTGGTGCAGTTTTATTGCTGCAAACACAAAACCAATCAGGATTGGAACAGAGAGACGTGAATTGGTCAAGCACGGAGTATAAGAGAGCTGTGATAAAACTGGATAGGTTCCTTTGTTGTGTTGTTTATGTGTGAAGTTTCTTTTTAATCAAGAGTGACCCAGTTCTGCTGATATATCTGTGCACTCAGTTTAGAGCAAGGTCCTCGTTTCTTTTTCTGCATTGTTTGTGTCCCATGATGACAAAGATAAGCAGATTTTTAGGGGGAAATAGAGTTAGACTGAAAAGCTGTTTCAGGTGATGGCTTTCGTGTTTCAGGAAAAATCTCCTGAGGCTTCCTCGGGCAAAGTGGAGTTAGACAGTTCTCGCCCTGAATTGGGTGACATGGAGCAGCCGATGACAGAGAGAGGAAGCCCTTCTCCACTGCAGGCACCTGCGTTGCCAGGGGAGTGGAACAGCAGCACACAGTCAGGTATCATTCAGTTCCTCATTAACACTGCAATGCTTGATGCCATTTGTCAAGCGTAGTTTCTAGTTTTCTCCCTTTCTGATCATTGTGAATCCAACTGGAGGCATAATATTATGAAACCTAAGCTTTTTTCCTTTATATTTTTTTTTTTTTGGGGGGTGGGGTGGTGTTTAGCTAACACTGAAGGACCCATTTCTCTCTATTCAGAGTCTGCCTTTGAGCAATTCGGACAGCTTACTAGTGAGCATGGTGACCAAAAATGGGAAAAGGAACACCAGCAGCGTGGAGCTGAGGAACACAAAATAAGCGGAAGAAGTGAGGAAACCACAGAAAAAAGAGACCCGGTAGTCTTGGATCCAGAACATGTGAGAAGCCTTCAAATCTTGTCGTTCTTCTTTGCGGTCTTGCTATTTTTATTCGTATAAAAGATGTGAGGTGAATTGTAAACAGTGGCTTAGCTGTGTGCTAAAACGACGTGTTTAAAAATAGCTTTTGCAAAAGCGCTAACTCCTGAACGTGTCCTCAATATTAAGCTGGAAGCTGCAGGTTCAGAAGTAAGCAACGTCGTGGGCAAATGTGATGCTCTTCAGTACTCCTGAAAGAGGAGTCCTTGCAGCGAGAGGGAGCGGATGGGTTCTCAGACACAGCTCTTCCAATATGTTTCTGTCTTTCAGATGTTCTCAATATTTATTTTCTAAGGTCAATGAATACCTGCTACATAAATCTTCTCACTTGTTACAGTGAGTGTAGCTTAAATAAGAATGTAAGTGTCTCGGGCAGAAAATATGATGTTTTGTTTAATAGTGGGAGTAGCGGTAAGGTTTCTTCATAATTTATTTACACAAGTATGCTAAACTTTATCAATATCATACATTTTTTACAGCCTCTGATGAGAAGATTCCAGGCTGCCCTGAAGAATCACCTCATCAAGCAGATTGAAAAAGAGAACCTAGAGCTTCAGGAACTGGTATATGGCATTCCTGCTTTCCCCAGCAGCCCATCCCTGCACCAGCTGAAGTGAGACAGCTGATTCCCCTCCTGTGTTTGCAGAGGACAGCAACAAAGAGGAAAAAAGTGGAGAGAGAAGAGCTCGGGGTGGTTCTTAACGGAGCGCAGCAGGAGCTGGCCCGTCTGCAGATGGAGCTGGAGAAGAGCCATGATCGCTTCTCTCAGGTGGCCACGGCACGTCAGCAGCTGGAAGAGGAACTGGAGGGCCTCAGGCTTACTCACAAGAACATGTCTCAGACCAGAGATGAAGAACGCAAGAAAGGTGACTGAAGCAGTTCTTGTAATGTTTCCTAATTCTAGTACTATGTAGAGAAATGAATCTGAATATAAGTCGAGTATTGGACTGAAAAATACAGAAAAGTTCATCAGGAATAATGTGCTCACTGAGAAGTTTCACAAATATTGCTGGTTAACGTATAATTTCTATTGTTTCTAAGGCCATGTTGCTACGTTGTGCTTCTAAGAAGGTCTTTAGGGCTAAAATGTAAACTGTTCCTGGCAGGTAGGCTGTTGTGTGACTTAGGAGGAAAGTCCCCATTGCTCTGTTACGTTTGCCTGTGTCTCCATAAGGGTGTGATGAGACTGCAAAGCTCGTAGGTCATTAGGGGCATCCAGGTGGGAGAGCAGCATCCATGTGCAGCCCATTCCAGCCAAAGAAATGGTCTTGACTCATTCTTTTTGTGTTGCAGGCACTTGAATAGGAAACAGTAAAACAATGTCAATGGCAAGGATAGCTAAAGATTAAAATAAATGGCGTAGAAAGTTTTTGCAGGTTATTGTATTCATCTGACTGAGAAAGAGACAGTTCTCTTTTGGGGCAGAGGAGTAGATTCACAGCCTCCTGAGGCCCCTTCTCTCCTTTCCTGGAATTCTGTGTGCTAGAAATCAAGGAATAGCTTACCAAGATTTTTAGCTTTGGTTGTGGAGCTATAATCCACAGCTGATATAAATTCCCATTGCTTGGGAGGGCTGATTTAGCTGGTGTGTGGGTTTTGCTCTGGGTGCTCCTGTGTTTCTTTTCCTTTTATCTCTGTTTAAAGTGTGCATTTAAAAATACTCTTCCATAAATATTTTTCCTCCTGCCTCCCCAGTTTCTGCAATGCAGACCCAGGTTGAAAAGCTGGCCTTGCAGCTCTCCTACATGCAGAGCATGGCCGAAGACATGCATCATAATATTATACTGAAGAAACAGTCAATAAAGAGGGCTGAGGCAGAGAAGGTCCAGGCTGAAGTGGAAAAGAGGAAACAGGTATCAAGTAAAACTGCTTTAAAATAAATGAATAAATACACCTTACAGTTAGTGGTGAGTCTTGGAGAACGTGCTGCTTTGTCAGAAGGAAGGCTATAGTGACTGAACCATGGGGGATGTGTGGGGATACTTTGCCCAGATAATTGGAAAAAAACCCAACCAACCAACCCAACCAAAACTTAAATCCCCCAAAAAGCAGTTTTTTCTAAAACTGAGAAGAATCCCCACCACTAAGATAGTGGCAGGTACTGCCCAAAGGCTTTTGACAAGCCTTATACTAGTAAATCACTCTTCACTCAAGCAGAGGGGGTGGAGGGCAGAAAGATATTTAATGAAGAAGTACCATATGTTCAATATGGAGAATTATTCTGGGTGTCACAATGAATCTCACAATGAAAAGTGAACTTTGAAAATGAACGGAGCCGGTTGGTGGGCTCGAGCTCCCTCTGCTGCCTTCTGCTTGCAGCAGGACACAGATTGGTATTGTTATTATCAATGCAGAATTAGCTGCAAACAGCTGAAATCAAATGAATTTAGATGTTGGTTTTTTTTTTTAACAAAGGATTTTAAAACACAAAGTAATAAGATTCCGAGCTATAGGAGAAGGTGGCACAGTATAATCCACGCTGACAGGAACGGATGCTGCTTCGGATCTGAAGTATCAGTATTTATTCCTGCAAATGGAATAATAAGAAATCAGCAAAGAAGGTCTCATTCTCTTGAAGGTGGTCATATTCATGAGTCACTTTTTTACAAATGGGAAAGTTTCAGTAGGAATCAAATCTAATCCAGTTGCCAATTGAGTCCCTTTTCTAGCCTGGGTTATTCTTGTAGAATATAGTTGGTTAAGCCTGAGGTTATGGAGCTCCCCCTGAGCTGTTTGGCTCTGCCTCTTTAGGATCTCCTAGTGGAGCGCTTAACAAGACAGACCTTCGAACTACAAGAACAGATTGCTCTGTATGAAGCTCAGCTTGTGGCGCAGGCAGAGGACACGAAAGTGACTCGACAAGCAGTAAATGAGGTAGGAGGGTGCTTTTTTTTTGCTTCTGGTTAATATTTCCCTCTGGGAAGACTGACCCCTATGGCATGTTCTCACGTGGTGTGTACAATCTAGGCCAGAGCTGTGTGGTTTGTTCCTGTTTGCAGGAATGGAGGCTTTTTTTTTTTTTTTTTCCTTTAAAAATTTCCTGTAAACCACTTCTCTCTTCCCTTCCCCAAAACTCCCCAGGGAAAATGCAGCCCCCCAGGGGAAATACGGCTTCCCCGGGAAGGGCTGTCTCACTGGCG